TTTTGGCAATCTTAGTCATACTACTTCTCGCCTCCCCCTTATCACCAGCCCGCCTTGCTTACCACCCGCATGCTGACGAAGCAGAGTAACACATGTCTCTTATTCTTGCATGCCTTTGCCTAATCCACTGGACTGGCCGAGTCATCTTGCGCACCCGCCGCCTCCCCGCGTCTTCCTCTCTCTACCACTCTGCTTCTTCTGTGTCAATCGAAACTGTCGTCTCCTCCTCTCCCCTTCGCCCCATCGAAGCCCACCAACACCCCCCACTCTGCACACCCGAATCATACGGTCTGGTGATGGCGTTAATTACTCTCGGAATCCCATTTCGCCTCGCCTCCTGCAGCCCGGACACACCTCCGGCGGTCCATCGACCCCGGCACTCGGCCTCCCCAACCCCTCTCGGCCCAGTCTGAGGCCAACTCCTCGTGTATCCGGGCTTGCTGCAGGTCACTATGCCGGCCGTGAGAACATGTGTAGGAATTGGATGCATGTGGTCGCCTGTTGCGGCACAATCCACTTGCTCCTCAGTCTCGTTTAACACGCCAAGCTATCCCGAGAGTTGCCAACGCATCCACTCTCTATTGCTTCGGTCTCGAGGTCGACAATTGGAGCATTGCATGGCATAACGGTACAACAAAGTCTATCTTCTCTCTCTTCACATTCGATACAAAAGCAAAATTGTAAGTCATACAAAAAGTAATTGTTGACTTGTCTTCACATCTGCAAGCCTCTCTCCAAACCGAGCTACATCACATGCTAGACTTGATGTGCATGCAGCACAAGCACAACATCCTCGTGACTGTCTTATGTTGAGTTCTTGATTCTGTGCAATTATGACGATGATGATAGTGATGCGAATGATGGTTTAGCCTACTCCGACGGCTAAACTGCCTGCAAGGAATCGAAGAGAAGTCATGATTTACTATGGCCTTCAACCCCAACACATGTGCCCTTTCTTTGCTTTAGGCAAAACACTCTTAGGTACTGTCATTAATAAAACTTTTTCAGCCTTATTCATTCAAGAAGGTACAGTTGAATTTACCCACAATCAGATGAGTAGGCATCAAAGGTTTCTAGAATCACTCATATTCTCAAAGTCTACTTATATAATAAATAAGTAGCTTCATTTATCACAGAAGAAAAACACGTTTGCTTAAATGATCAACCCACTGTATGTCACATCCGTTCTGTGACCCACACTAGCAGACATTAATGTATAGTGGAGGGATAACATCTCCACGATACCCACGTTATGTGTTCGAGTCCCACTGGGGTTGGTGAATATAACCAGGCTAGGTAAAAAACCGTCTTCTCTGAAAGAGATGAGATCACAGTTTGAGAAGCAACACGAAACGAAATTTAATGGCCTGTGGGGCGAGTTCGAGGCCGCAGTCCAGCCTGAATAGGGACGGTCTTTCAGGAAGCCTGGGCAATTCTTCCCTCGAAGTCAACCTGTGAAGCGATTTCATCCGTTGTAGTAGCATCATACAACTAGATGATAGGTAAATTGCCTTCTGAGATGAGCTGTCAAACGAAGCATTGCCAAAAATGCAAAGCAGATATTCAAAATAGCCTATTCGTGGTGAGTTCTTCCATCCACCAGTCGTTCGTTTTACCAAAACTTCATGCAAGAGGTGATAAAACAAGCTCTTTGGGATTACAAGACAGTAAAAATAGATGTCATTTGGCCGGATCACCCACCACTCGTCAGGCCCAACGGCCCCAAGACACTGGCAAATGTATGCATGAACAAGTCCAAAAAGCAATTCAAGAAGTCACCACTACAACCAAGAGTGTCTATGCCATGCCTGGTCGCATGGTAGGGAAAATTTGGATGAATTCCTCAATTTTATGAACCAAATTGAGGAAACACTTAAATTCACAATGGAGGTGGAGGAGGACGATCCAACGGGACACTCAAGAGGAGACTGTTCTGAAAGAAATCAGATGCAAGAATAATCCTTAATTTACAGTATCGTTACAAATGCAGAATAAAGATAGGAATAATGCGAAGTTTGATAACCTGAAGATTAAGACTAAGACTAAATGTAAACTAAGATCTCGATCCCAAAACAAGTTGAAGGCAGAGACTGGAAAAACTTATTGCAGCTTGTCCCATTCTTCATGCCGGTTAACAGATATGCACATGGTATACATACTGTGCCTAAAACGAATGCAATCTAGAAAGTCAACAAAACTCATCGGCCTTAGTTTCATTTCTCCACAATAATCTGAGTAGAGCTGACGTTTCGATTAAATTTCACATGGTCTTGTTTTCTAAAAAGGTATCCTCATCCAAGGAGGACTTCAGTTTCGACCTCCCCCAGGTCTTGACAGCACCCCCCGGCAGGAGTCGAGCTATGACAATGCTGCGTGTAATCTCGATACGTTAAACGCCACGCCATATTGTCACGAGTGCCGATAGGTCAAGGGAAAGATGGGAATTCAAAGGAAAGCCAGTCATTTTTCAATATCACATCCTGTATTGGAATTGGCGGTGAAGCAAACGACATCACCTTTAAACGAAATCAACGGCGTTTACGAGCATATAGAATTTTTCGGATTGAATAGATTTTCGAGACTAGGAGTCATAGTTACAAAACTAAAGTTGGAATAAAGAAGTCGATGACAAGTAGGAGTATGAGGAATTGCGGATATAAATTATTTGGCTGCAATGTTAGATAAATTAGAAATAAATCATCCTCTAGGATTAATTGGAAGAATATTTCCTTATTAAGAAACAGATTTTCGTAAGAATGCTAATTGCTAAGCTAAGGACCTCTTCTCAAGTCTTAACTCTGTCATCTTGCCTTCTTCCTGATAGGCCGAA